TAAGGGAATCATCGGAAGCGCTAGTTTCAAGTATCTAGATGCCCGAACTCGGTCTGTTACCAGAGCTGGTTCCGAAAACTTATCCGTACTCTGCTATATTTGAGATGACGATGAGTTTCTCAATGTAACTCGAGCTGCAGATGAGCTACAGAGCTGTTTTGGCACAGCAATCGAAATACATCATCAGAAGCACTAGTCTCGAGTATCTAGATGCCCGCACTCGGTCGGTTACCAGAGCTGGATCCGAAAAAAAAAAACATTAGTCGTACTCTGCTATTCTCTTAAACGATGATCAGGACTTTCTTGAGATAACTCGAGCTGCAGATGAGCTACAGAGCTGTTTGGCACAGCAATCGAACATAAATCATTGTATGCGCTAGTCTCAAGTATCTAGATGCCCGAACTCGGTCTGCTTCCAGAGTTGGCGCCCAAAAAGTTATTCGCATTTTTTCAGAAATGACGATGCCTTTCTTGATGTAGCTCGAGCTGCAGATCAGATTAGAGCTGTTGGGCACAGCTATTGGACGCAGATCATCAGGAGCGCTCGTTGCAAGTATCTACATGTTTGAAATCGGTCTGCTACCAGAGCTGGAGCCAAACAACTATTCGTACTTCTGCTCTTCGTCCTCTTCCTTCTCCTTCGTCTTCTCCTTTTCTTCCTCCTTCATCTGCTCCTTCTCCTCTCTCTCGTCCTGCTCCTGCTCTTCCTCCTTCTTCCTATCTTTGCCCTCTTCATCGTCATCATCATCGTCCCTCTTCCCCCTTCCACCCTTCCCCTTCCTGCTCGTCATCCTCCTCTTCCTCCTCCCTCTCATTCTTCTCCGCCTGCTCCTTCTCCTCCTCCTCCTTCTCTTCCTCAGCCTCCTCCATCTCCTTCCTCCTCGCTCCTTCTCACTCCTTCTTCTCCAGTCCTCCTCCATGAAAGCGCGCCCTCGCGCGCGTGGAATGCGAGATTGCCGCGCCCGCATTCCATTCTTGTATGCCGAGGGAGCTCTACGAGTTCCCGGCGGTGACCAAGGTTGACGGTGTACCGCCGGCTCCCAGTATCGAGAAGCGCTCGCTGATGCGCGTCTCAGAAATGGACGTGGCGGAGGCTGGGCGACTGGGCTCGCTTATCGTCAAGTTGGCCATGCACAGTGCGGTCCACGCTCGGAGCCCAGGGGGGTGGGTAGAGGCGTGCGCCATCGTCCAGAAGCTGAACGACGAGGGGTACGACAAGGAGTGGGCGCGCGTGATGCACGCTATTGCCCAGTTGCCTCCGCGCACGGTCCAGATGCTCGGCGCGGAGATGACGGGCAACGCTGGGCCGACTGGCGAGCCCGAAGACTAGGGGGACAGCTTTGGGCATTCACCAATTGGAGAGGATAGCGTCGCCGAGGAAGAGAAAGTCTTGGCGCCACTGGCGAGAGTGCTGTTAATGTTTCGTGCCTGGTGATTGGCCCAGAACGAATGCGCGCCCGGTAGGAGGCGGCAGCAGATGCTTCCCATGGGCGATTTTCGTTCCCCTGGATGTCGCTGCCATGAAGCGAGCCATCAGTGGCCTTTTTGGCGCGCCAAAGAGTGACCTCCAAGGAATTCGCCAATGCAAGTTCATGACGTGCCTCCCGACTAGTGCCGCCCGATACCCAGCGACTAATGATCCCGTGGTGAAGGGCAGCGAATGGAGCTCTTTTGGGGCGCGGACCATCGTCCAGAACATGAAGGAAGGCGTGAGCGGCGAAGTGGGCGGTGAATTGCCGCGGTGGCTCAGACCTGGGGGATGGGCGAGGTCGGTGACTGGCCAAGACTTGGATGCCGCTGTGTTTGGACTTGGGGACCCGTATCTCTTGTCCGACATGTTTGCAGTTGCGTTCCAGCCGCGTCGCGTCTCTTTGCAAATCAGGACGTCTGAGTACTGCATGACGGCGCCCTGGCGACTACCTTTCGCCCCAAGGTGGTCGACACCCATCAGATCATGCGACTCGCAGTCTCGGGCGCTCAGCATGCCGAGGTGTCGTGGACGTTGGTCTATGATTGACGATTCGCGGCGCTGCTGGCTCAGCCGCAGACCGCGCAGGCTGCCTCGACTTCGCGTAGCAGAACTGTGAGATTTATCGCCTGCCCGACGTGGACGAGAACGACGAGCTCGTCGCCAAAGACGAGAAGGACGCCGGGTATTTTTTTTTTGTGTATGCTGCGATGACTGTCGAAATCGGATCGGAGCGCTAATGTGCGTCACATGTCGCATTACGACGCGTAACAACAGTACAGTTGTCGATGCCGAGCAGACCAAGTCGCAGCTCGATTCCAGGGGCTTGGGCTTGTAAAAGGTGTGCTCAGACGATGTCCGCGACCTTGAGCCCGAAAAGATGGGAGGGAACAGACACTTATCGTATTCAGCGAAATGCACGCCTCAAGCGGTTCGACGCCGCCGAGCTCGCAATGCGCAGACGCCGAGAGAACGCTCTTCGCGGCAAGACCGCGTACCGTAGCAATTTCATGGCGGTCTTCGCGTGGTTGCCCACGTGCCCACAAGATGCACTACCTCCGCCGCATAACACCCACAGGCTCGAGAAAACGAGAAAACTTGCCAAGATATGGATCAGGTTCCAGAACGAACGTTCCAGGGCGC